CTCTTTTATTGAATGATAATGATTAGGGTGGCCTAATTTAGGTGTGACAAGATGGCCAGGATTTTTATACAATGTTTGGTTGTGTGTAATCTTTCATGCACTTTCATCAAGGGCTGTCTCTGGAAAGTGGGTAATGGAACAAGTGGAATAAAAAGGTTTCTCAGGTTAAGGGTATTTGAGGCAGTTAATATCGCAAGGCAATAAGTTCAGGGAGAGTCTTCATTCCATATCAGTGGAAGTTCCAACAATATCAGCAAAAGGGGTTTAGAGTGAAGGTACAGCAAAAGGGAAGTCATTATTTCAGAGTGGGAGGTGGAAGATGGATCAGAGGATTTTGGGATCTGAAGAATATAGGTGAGTTCCGGGAATTCTGAATTAGTAGAAAGTGTGATAGAGTCAAGCAAAGGGTCCTAGAGTGATGATAAAGCACAAGAGGAGTCCTGACTTCAGAATAGGAGGAGGAAGATGAATCAGATGATTTGTAAAGGGAGGGTTATGATAGGCCACTAAGAAGTGATCGCTGGGAAAGCCTGAAACATTCCAGATTGGTGGATGGCCTGATAGGGAAAGGGTTCCATAGTGAAAGAACAGCACAAGAGAAGTCCTGGCTGAGTGATGAATTCAAGAGCCTAAAAATTTCCCAGATGGTGGAACTTCTGATAAAAGCAGGAAAGAAGGCTCCAGAGTGAGGGTGCAGCACAAGAGAAGTTGATGATGCAGTTTGGGAGGTGAAAAATTACACAAATGATTTGTAGATCTGAGGGATATAATGGGTTGCAGTGTTATGAGTTAAGAAAGAGCATTCTAGATTGGTGGAAGCTCTAAAACAAGCAGGGAATTTGTTCTAGAGTAAAGGTGCAGCCCAAGTGAAGTCATGGAAGATGATGGGAGCAGATGATTTGTTGAACTGAGAGAAGCTTTATACCAGGGTGAGGGGAGCTTTGTAGGTGAGGATGAGATGTGTAGCTAGTGCAAAGACTGGGAGTTAAAATAAATAAATAAAATAAAAAGGGGGCTGATTGGCACCAACTTCAAACGTAATTAATTGGCTGCTGGTAACTCAGAGCTGCTCAAGTATGTAGTGCCTCTAGATATCAAGTGTCTGTGGTATCAAGATATCAAGTGTCTGTTGATTTGATAGGTTAGTTGTTCTCAGCTGTTGAAACACCTGACTTAGAAATTTCCAATACATTCTATACATTCCTGTCTGATTCTTAGGGATCATCGTATGATGGTAATGGTTATTGGTAGTAGATGGTGCTGTGAGTTCCCAGTGAAGTTGGTAAAGAGGTCCAGTCAGGTAGAGATTCATCTGTATAGGGAGAATTGAAGTGGATGTGTCCAGTGAGCTGTGACTTGTTTGTGGTCATAACAGAGATGTTTTATTAGTAAGTAAATACGGGAGATGGCCAAGCTGTGTGTATGATTTTATGAGGACTGATCTGTATGTATGGTTTCTTCTAAAGAACAAAACCTGCTAGAGGAATAGAATTTAGGAGAGTTTAGAGTAGGGTTTTCCAGCAAATCTTCTGTGGTAATTTGTGGTTGTTCAGTCCCAGTCTTGGTTAGTAGAGGGTGGAGAATTTGATATTTAATTGGTAGGGCACTTTTTCCTCCAGATATATTCCCTGCAAATCATAAAGACTGGCATAGAAACGTATTACAAAAGTGTCTATAGAAGTTGTACTTGATTTTGGTGCATGCTGCTCCACTTTTAGAATGCACATAAGACACTTTCGCAAAATCTGTCTCACCCACTTCTCTTTGTACACCAAAAGAGAGTTGGTCCTAATTAGCGCCACTTTCATAGAAAAAAAAAGTGTTCGTATTTTATTTTGAATTTTGCACATTCATTGCGCCACAATGTAAAAGTGGTGTATTTCAGAACTCCCTGAATTTGGTGTGTGAGTCGCTGTCAGAACCAAAAGTGTGATGCTTCATGAATTTGGTGCAATACATTAACAAGAGGAATTAATGCCAGAAAGGTGGAGTAGCAACTGTATTGCATTCCTCCCACAGAGTCTTAGTTATGTGGAAAGTTTGGAGTTAAAGTCATACCTATTTATAAAGATTTGGGTTTGCCACATTTTCCCAACTTGTTCCATTTCCCAATATTACAAATTTATAAAACAGAGTTGATGTTAGACCCCTTTAGAGAAGGAAATGGTTAATGTAATAATAGTGAATTTTAATGAAGATTATGTTTATGCACTTTCTGCTGCTCCTTTTCTCCAAGGCACAGGTCTCTAGACAACTGCCTGGTTTGCCTGCATGGTAAACAAGCTGAACTGGTACAATCCTTGCTGAACTGGTACAATCCTTACTGACCTGGTAAATTCCTAATAGCCTGCAGCTGCCAACCCAGCCAGTCATGGGAGGGTTCATTTTCGGTGCTACAAATCAGCAATATACAAACTGACTGTTCTGTAATCAAATGCTGACATATCTGTGTTAACAATCAAAGAAAGGAGAAAAAAAACTTTATTGGCGATTCTGGAAATGACTCTGAAGGTGAAAAAAAAAAAAAATCGGAAAAAGAATGCAGCACAGCTGAGCGGACGGTTAAAGTAGGACGTTGTGTATAATTAAACAGAACACGAAGATTCTTCGCATTTTAACTTTTATGGGAAAAACAAAACTCAACCGCTTCTGGTCTTTGCCCAGATCCTTCACACTGTGATGTGCTGGCCTGCCCGGCTGTGAGGGGGTTGATTTCTGGGCTGTGTTGTGCACAGACCTCGTGGACTGTTCATGTGACGTTTCTGTACTGACAAGTCTCTGTTTTCACAACACCAACTTTGTACATAAACATGTTTGTAATGTTTTCCTTTGTGTGCGTGTTGGGGAGGGATGGGCCGGCAGGTCCGGTCCGGGGTAAAGTTTTTTTTTTTGTTTTTGCTGTGAGATTTATTTTTCTTTTTTGTGTTTTTTTTGTTTGTTTTTTTGTACCGTTTGATGTTTCTGTTCATTTTTATTTAATGTGCACGTACAGGGTCTTGTGTGGGGAGGTCCGAGCTGGTATTTGTCGATTGTGTCATTCGGGAACCGATGCATGTTACAACCCAGCAAAGTAATAAAAGAGACAAGTGAAAAAACATTTTACGGATGTGAAATGATTTAATGACTTATGCTCACACAGAAATGTATTATTTTTAAGTTTGTAGATTTGAAATCATTTTGACACAAGCTACATTCACAGAGATGGAAGTGATTTATTTCTGAAGCCAGGTTAGAAGCATTTTTAATAAAATACACTATATAGCAAAAACTATGTGAACCCCCACCAAATGATTGCATTCAGGAGTTTCCAATGAAGGGTACTGTTATTACTACACCATAGAAAGACATTTCCGACAATTCTAACCTTGGGAAGACCCTTTTCTGTTCCAGCATGACTGTGTCCATGGGTACAAAGCCAGCTCCATAAAGACATGGTGTGAGCAGTTTGGAGTGGAGGAACTTGAGAGACCGGCACAGAGCCCTGAGCTCAACCCGACAACACCTTGGGGGGAATTGGAATGCTGATTGTGAGCCGGAACATCTCAACCAACATCCAACCTGACCTCACAAATGGGCACAAATTCCCACAGACACTTCAAAATCTTGTGGAAAGACTTCCCAGAAGGAAGGAGTGGAAGTTGTTGTAGCCACAAAGGGGGCAACTTTGGCCTTAGCTTTGGAATGGGATGTCTAACAAGATGCTTGATGACCAGGCATCCACAACCCTTTGGCCTTATGGTGTATTTATATTTATTTTTCAATTTAAATATGATACAACCAGTTATACTGTTTCAAAAACACCCAGTGTTCGACTTTAGATGCTGGAGATAGACAGATTGTGAAATGGTAACAGCAATGGGAAAAGATTAATAGAAGTCCATTCATGCCTTGAATATAGGCTTCTTTAAAGGGGAATACCAGCTTATGCAAAATGTTTACCTCCCTCGGTACACATTTGTAGTAGAATGGGGAAACGTTAGGACTTCTACCAATGTTTTTTTTTTTTCCATTATTATTGTCTGTGCTTTTCCTATACTGGTGACACCTGTGCCTGCCATTTCTTGTATGAGTGTCACAAGGACAGGTGGTGGAGGAAAAACTCCCCCTAAGGAGACACACACAGAAGAAATAACTTTACAAAAATTATAGAGCTGAACTCTAGGTAAATATTAGAGGCATGCATTAATGCAACTCTGTAATCTATAATACACCATTAAATGCATTTTAATACAGGCAGTAAAACCCTGAATTTGACCTGGTGTCAGCCTTTTGCAATCCTTGTTCAGCAGAGCTGGAATGTGAGAGGAAGGAGCAATATAAGGACACATCCAATTCCTGCTGATGGTAAGAGAGAGCAGAAAGAGAAGCTTGTCAGCATGCTGCTTCTCCTTTCACTGTCCAGTCACAGGCTTAGATATGGGTCCAGGACAACCTGGGCTCAGAGGAAGTGCATTGAATGATGCTGGCCATAAAAAGAATCTAGCGACAGAAAAAAGGACTGATGCGGAAATCTCTTGACTGAAGGTGAATATTGCAGCAAAAGATGGTTTTGTTATAGCTTTTAAAAAACTATTTTTTGTTTTTAATTTTTGGCTAAAGTTCTGATTTAACTCTTTGCTACCCTACCCAAAACAAAACCAAAAATGTATTAGCGAGAGCAACCTGTACTGGAAATAACGGAGAGCTGCCACCTTCTTCTGAAAGTGATGACTGACTGTTTCATCAAGAGAGCTCAGCAATGAATGTCTTTTTTCTGTCTGTGCTGTAGAGTTCTTTTTAATGACCGAACCGTATTTGCTGAATGGGGGCTGTGGACAGTCCGCTGGGAATTTTTAGGCTTAATTGCAATGGGTTCCAGGATAATGGAAGTTCACTGACAGCACAGTCCTGCCTTTTATAAAACGATGCTTCTTGGGAGATGATGGGCTGAAATCAGCAGTTGTACTGGCTTTCCCAATTCATCACTCTGCAGCACCAATATCCATCATTCTGTGCCCCCCTCAGGCCTGGAGGTATTTGGGCTCATTCGGACGGAGGTCCATAACCTTACAGATGCAGAGAAGGATCAGTGTGAAGAACCACAAGGCCCATCCGATGGTAGCGGCGATCCAGCCATAACTGTCCATGCTGTCTATGCAGCAATGCCTAGCCACATCACAGATATCGGTGTCTGTGTGGGAAACAGAAGAGGTGTAACTGGCAGTGCAAAGAGCAACAATGTGAAGTAACCTATAGCTACCTGACTATCTGCTGATTAGATGCCAAGGGCTACTGAAGATTGCAGTTCCTTTGGATGAGAAATATGGAGTCTGCCATGTCTGACGACTTTCTGAAAATGCTAAGTGCCTGACTCTGGTTTTGTAGTTTGTTCAATGACTCAATGAAAAAAAAAAAAGTACAGATCAGGAAAGTAAAATCAGAACTCCTGATCTGCATGATTGCTTAGGGTCAGTGACTCAAAGTACTGCAGCTATTGGCTTACAATGACAGTCAAGCTGCTGGTATTGGTATTGGAGAGGGTCAGCAATGGCGGTCTCCACATTTTTCACTACGTGATTCCTTTTAAAGAGACCGTATACTATGCTATTAGGTCTCATGCACACTGGACATTTTGCCCTTCTCTCATCTCCTCTCCTCTCCTGGCAGCAGCGTTTTTTCAGAAAAGAACGCTTGACACTTGTAAAGCGCTCTTAATCACGTCAAGCACTTGGGTGTTAATTAATTTCATTGGCCAGGAAAATTATTTATTTTAGCCATTGAAATGAAATAAATGCTCAAGTGCTAAATGTGCCTAGCATTAACGTGCATTTACATGCGTCAAAGGTTTGTTTTTTTTTTCTACGGAAACACCTCTGCTCCTGGATGCATTGGCAGTGGGGGGTGTTAGTCATGTGTGTAAAATCAATCTGTAGTTCTTCAAAAGGACCCTGTGGTGGAGGAAGATGGTCATGTTGACCATACTGCTGTCCTGTATTATTGTTCCTCAAACTCCTGCCTCTAAACTCCTCTAAATGCCTATGTGTGCATGGGCATATCAGCTAGCATACAGAGGCATTTAGAGTCAGAAAACAAAAAATCGCCAGATGCCCCTAAGGGCAGCAATAAAAATGTCCAGTGTGCTTGAGACCTTTTTGACCACTCTTTGTGAAAGTAACAACCCCCTGGTTAGCATATTGATCCCCTAGTTTCAGTACATTAACTCAATGGCCAGATCAAGCACACAAACCTGCAGTCAGCGTTCCTGGTCTGTATACTTGATCCTGACTCACAAAGCTCTGAAGCCATTGAATCAGCATGACGGTACTCACATGGTTTTGCTGTTGCAAGGTTTATGGCTGTCAACCTTCTCCTTCCTCCAGTACTTACTGAATTTTTGACTCAGAACAAGCATACAGCCAAAGCATTGGGTCATCTGATATTTACATGTCTATTCCAGGTCACTCACTAAGCCACTGAGCCCAAAGGTGACAAACTCCAATGTGCATTACAATGTGTGTTGTAGAACGCACAACCATAGCTGTGAATTACATTTAAAGCGGAACCTAAGGCACACATACTTACCTTAGTTCCAACAGTCCCTTGTCAGCACTGGCATCTTCTCCCCCCAGTTTTTCCGGTTGCCAGTCTTTGGCTGCTTTGATTGTCCTGGCATGGGAGTGCAGTCACCCCAGAACACTGACAGTGTAATGCACACTGAGGATTGTGAATAGGCAGGTAAGTGCCTGTCTGTTCACAGGTTTTTTTTTTGTTTTTTTTTATTTCCATTTAGTTCCACAGGGCCTATTTAAACTTTTGTGTTGTCGTAAAATGTAGCAATACATGCTTTGTGGTGCAGCTCATTTGAAATGGCACTCCAATGCATTAAGGCAACTCACATGAGTTGCAGCATGCCGCAATATACAGCGGTATAAAATTTGCAGAACTTCTGATTTATTTTTTTTTGGACTTTTGGTGTCCAATTGCTTGCCTTAACTGAATGCGGGATATAATGCATATTAACACAATTCATATAAGGATTATCGATCACTCTAAATAGCTAAAAACATTTAATCAGATGACCCACCTGGACATTGCAGTAAACTCACTACAGTCTCATTGGATGCTGAAAAAATAAAAAGGATAATGTTAATCATGCAAAAAACAGGTCTTTACTGCAGGCGCATTATATCTGACACCTAAGTGAGTTATTGCTGCTTTGTTGGCTGTTGTTCCCACTTGTCTGTGCTATGTTCCTGGGTCTGCACACCTCCTGTGCCCATTATGAGGGATTCCCACCATCCCTACAGCAGGGTAGGTGGACTGACCCTTTAATCTGCAAAGCGGTTGCAACAATGTAGTAGATGCTATAGTCAGCAGATTAGTAGTTACATTATATTACATTACATTACATCGAGTTTATATAGCGCCAAAGGGTTTGCTCAGCGCTGTACAATAGAGGGGGGGGGGGCAATACATGAAACAGTACAGCAACAAACAGCACACGAGGGGTTAGAGGGCCCTACTCTTTCGAGCTTACAATCTAGGAGGGAGGGGGTAGTGGGTACAGGAGGAAGTGGCTGTGGGGGATGGAGTAGTAGGAGGAATGAAGGAGAGCAGCAGTTAGGTGAGGGTAGGGTAGGCTTCCCTGAAGAGCTGGGTTTTCAGGGAGCGCCTGAAGGTGAGGAAGGAAGGTGACAGTCTGATGGACTGGGGTAGTGAGTTCCAGAGGATGGGGGAGGACCTGGAGAAGTCTTGCAGACGTGCGTGTGAGGAGGAGACCAGGGAGCAAGATAGAAGGAGGTCCTGTGAAGAGCGAAGGGTACGGGTAGGGTGGTACTTGGGAATCAGGTTGGTGAGGTAGTTAGGGGCAGTGTTGTGAACGGCTTTGTAGGTCAGAGTGAGTAGTTTGAATTTGATGCGTTGGGCGATAGGGAGCCAGTGGAGGGATAGGCAGAGGGGGGTGGCAGAGGTGGAGCGGTTGGTGAGGTGGATGAGTCTAGCCGCTGAGTTCAGGATGGTCTGAAGCGGGGAGAGCCTGCACTGGGGTAGGCCGGTGAGGAGGGAGTTGCAGTAGTCAAGGCGTGAGATAATCAGGGAGTGTTCGAGTAGTTTGGTGGTGTCTGGGGTAAGGAAGGTGCGTATCTTGGCGATGTTGCGGAGGTGCAGCCTTCATGTGTTTGTAAGTGATCTGACATGAGGTTGGAAGGAGAGGTTAGAGTCCAGAATGACACCAAGGACTTTGGCTTGCGGGGCGGGATTGATGGTGGTGGTGTTAGTAGTGATGGATAGGATGGGGGGGGGGGGCGCGGGCAGGGGGGAGAGACGGGAAGCTCGGTTTTGGAGAGGCTAAGCTTGAGGAAATGGAGCGACATCCAGTCAGAGATGTCGTTTAGGAGGTGAGTGATGCGGGCGGAGAAAGTGGGGGTGAGGAGGTGGGAGTTGGAGAGAGATGTTGCTTTTGACACACAGATGGGGAATCACGTCCCGCTTGGAAACAGGTCAGGACCTTAATCTTTGGGGTGGAAAACATTTGCCATGTCAGCATGACAAAGGGAGAAATTTACAGACTTATGTTGGCATTAAAAAAAAATGGACATGCAGTCACTTTAAAAAAAAAAAAAAAAAAAATCAATGTATACAAAAGTGTGGGACCAACCCAAAGTATTAGTGGATTGATCCAGGAGTAAAAAGTAGAATCTACATGGAAGATTTCAATACTGCAATTTAATAAAAAAAAAAAAAATAGAAATAATTAAAATGTTTATTTTCCTTGTATTTTTTTTAAATCACAGTACATCTATCATGTTTTAAACTGCTAAATTATATGAGCTCAATATGGGCGCAATCATGATTTTACCTTGTAGGGTACAAAGATGCATTAAGTCTACATTTCACACCTATGCATGTGCAGTTGATGTGTTTATGCAGTGTGTTTTCCAGCACATTTTGCGTTTTTTAAATGTGTTTTTAATGTGTTTTTGGGAAGTGTTGATGTTGCTAGGAGAAGATGTCTGTTGTCATGAAGGGAAACATACCAAAACATATACAGTTGTGTTCAAAATAATAGCAGTCAGACATCACTAACCTGATCAATCACTGTTTTTGGTAGAAATGATATTTCTACATGGCAAATCATTTACTAGCATGTGTAGTAGAGTAATAGAAATCCAACAGACCCAACAGTCATGACATGCATGCTGCTGATTCTGTGTAATTGAATCACTAATTGAAAGGGGCATGTTCAAAATAATAGCAGTGTGGAGTTCTATTAGTGAGGTCATTCATTCTTTGAAAAACAGGTGGCAATTATTGCCCTTATTGGAAGGCAGCAAATGTTGTACATGCTGGTTACAGTGCATTTCTTTTTGAAATTCTGAGGAAAATGGGTCGTTCCAGATATTGTTTAGAAGAACAGTGTACCTTGATTAAAAAGTTGATTGGAGAGGGGAAAACATATAAAGAAGTGCAGAAAATGATAGGCTGCTCAGCTAAAATGATCGCAAATGCTTTAAAATGGCAACCAAAACCTGAAAGACGTGGAAGAAAGCGAAAAAAACTACCATTCGAATGGATAGAAGAATAGCCAAAATGGCAAGGACTCAGCCAACAATCAGCTCCAGGAAGATCAAAGAAGGTGTAAAGTTACCTGTGAGTACTGTTACAATTAGAAGACGCCTATGTGAAGCCAAGCTATCTGCAAGAAGCCCCCGCAAAGTCCCACTGTTGGAAAAAAGACATGTGCTGAAGAGGTTACAATTTGCCAAAGAGTACATTGACTGGCCTAAAGAGAAATGGCGCAACATTTTGTGGACTGATGAAAGTAAGATTGTTGTTTTTGGGTCTAGTGGCCGGAGACAGTTTGTCAGATGACCCCCAAACACTGAATTCAAGTCACAGTATACTGAGAAGACAGTGAAGCATGGTCGTGCAAGCATCGTGATATGGGGATGTTTCTCATACTACGGTGTTGGGCCTATTTATCGCATACCAGGGATCATGGAGCAGTTTGAATACATCAGAATACTTGAAGAGGTCATGCTGCCTTATGCTGAAGAGGAAATGCCCTTGAAATGGGTGTTCCAACAAGACAACGACCCCAAACACACCAGTAATTGTGCAACATCTTGGTTCCAGACCAACAAGATTG